ATAGTTAATTAATGTGACTTAAAATATAACTTAATAAAAATTGCGCATGTGTTTGATATTATTCAGAGCCTCTTAATAATGTAAGATACTGTAATTATTCTCTAAGCTTTTCTTCAATAAACAAGTTTTTAAGAAAAAACACCTTCTGTCCATAATTTAATCTTAGTGTTGTGTAAAGTCCTGCTTTTTAGTATCAGCTCTCAGATGTGAATTGTCAAATTTCTATTAAGCCGAAGGTGAAAAATTAATGATATTTTAAAATGAATGCAAGTCTGTTAGTTATGCAGCACAACAAATCAAGATTTGTCTATGTTTGAGCATGGTCTAAGGTTCATTGATATTTAACTTTTGAATGCATTATTTCTTATGTTTAATGCAATATTTCAGAGGGGAAAAAGATGCAGCTATTGAGTTTTTCCTAACAGATAAATATATCTCAAAGATGGTTTCAGTAATCAAAATATTTTTTAGCCAAAACCAATTTTGCTCAGTGGATAAAGCTTCGGCCTATGGACTGAGAGGTCCCAGGTTTGATTCTGGACAAGGCATGTACCTTGGTTACAGTCAAATCCCCAGTGGGGAGTGTGCAGGAGGCAGATGATCGATGTTTCTTTCTCATCATCGATGTTTCTAACTCTCTATTCCTCTACTTTATTCTCTGTAAAAAATCAATAAAATATATTAAAAAATTATATAATTTAAAATTATATAATGTTTTGTTATATAAAAATTATATAACAAAACATAATTTCAGAGCAAGGATAATCAGTGAGGCTTGGTTGCTGGAGACATGTGGGTTTTGAAAACCTATGTAATAGGTCTTCTGTGGGAGAGCAATTAGCTGGGGAGAAAGCATTCACATATAGCAAGCATGAGCCTAACAAAATCATAATTTATTCTTTGGTTGTACTTGTGATCCATTTTTTAGGCATTCAGTAAAACAAAGGCATTGAAACTACCTTTCAAAGAATTATTGATTCCTTCTTTTGTTTTCCTAGTAATTATTGAGCTCCTCTTATGTTCCTTACAGTCTGCTTGGTTTTGAGTAGCATACAATGAGGAAGAAGACTTGGTTCTTTGCCTTCAATGATTTAGCCTTTAGAGGGAAAACCAAAGTGTTTATTATGAAGTGTTATTGTTAATTAGAAATGTTAAACACTACAAAAAAGGTACAGCTATATCACATAAGCAGGAGGGTGTCAGAGAAAGCTTCCAGAAAGTGACTTGTAAGTTAGAGCCTGACATGTGTGATACAGGAGAAACGAAAGTGAAATGGGTGGACGGGCTTACACAAGAAATGGAAGATGTAAATCACAGAATATGTAGGGGCACAGCTGGTTTTAGGATGAGATGCATGAAGAGGAATAATGGGAAATAATGTTGGAAGTATAGGTCAGAGATTGTGAAGGGCCTTGAATGGCAAGGCAGAGTTCTGTATTTGAACTGGGGAGAAGTGAAATCATGCAGCTTTTCAAGAAGTTTCATTTTGTGTTGGTAATCTGTCAGCATCTAACATCTACAAAAACTTTAAAATAATAGATGGCTCATTTCTCATAAATATTATACTACAGTAATCACTCCATTCCCAGGTCAATGTTCTAAGATCCCTAGTGGACTGCAGATACTACCAAACCCTATATATAACTGTTTTTTCCTCCTGTAGATACATGCCTGTGATAAAGTTTAATTTATAACTTCAGAATAGTAAGATTAATAACAATAACAATTATGTAATAGAACCATTATAACAATATACGTACTGTAAGATGAGTTATGTGAATGTGGTCTTTCTGTGTTGTCTGAGGTAGCTGAGAGATTACTAAAAGGCGGGGATCATACAAGTGTGAAGATGCTGGACAAAGGGATGACTTACTTCTCAGGCCGAATGGAGCAGAATGGGGAGATATTTCATTATGCTCCTCAGAATGATGCTCAATTTAAAAATTATACATTTTTTTTTTTTATTTCTGGAATGTTCTTTTTAAAAATGTTATTGATTTCATTAAAAAAAGGGAGAGGGACCAAGAGAGAGAATCGTTGGGATCAGAGACTGCAGCCCTGGCATATTCCTTGACTGGGAATTCAACTGTGACCTCCTTGTTCATAGGTAGCCGCTTAACCACCAAGCCATGCCAACCAGGCATGAATTTTTCCATTTAGTATTTTCAGACCTCAGTTAACTGTGGGTAACTGAAACCCTGAAAAGGAAAACTGCAGATAAGGAGGACTACAGTATTTCATTGTCTGGTGTACACTAAAAGTTTCAAAGGCAATGGCTGAGGGGAAAAATTACATGCTGGGCAAAGCAGAGGAGATGGCCATACAAAGGCTTTCTGCTCTGTGCACATCATTGATGCCTTGAGATTTTTATCACTGTGACTCCAGGTAGAGCCCAGAGCGGCAGACACAAGGCTGCTCATTTGTGGTTGAGAGCAATTTCCTTATGGCCTGAGAATCCCTTTCGTTTATCTCAGCAAGCTATATTGCTACCAGCATCTTCTGTGTGAACCAGGCTCATGGCCATGCAACCTGTACAGTCTCAGGACCCCCACCTAGAGGGACCCACACCTAATTTAATGCTCTATTGCCGTGTTGAAACTCTTCATACTTTTTGAACAAGTAAATGGCTAGGAAGCAGTGAGCCGCACTGTGATCAAAATGCACTGCCATACATCCATATAAAAGGGGTTACTGAATTATGAGAGCAGCAGAGCGCTTATATAACAAAACCCATTCGAAGCTTGAATCTTCATTATTTTTCTTCTTCAAAGCCATGGCTTCTATGGTTGCCACAGGGCTAAGCTAAATATCATTTCTTAGCCTTGTGGTTTTGCAGTTGATAAATTAAGGGAAAACTTCTGTAACATATTTTCTCATTTATAATCTGCCTCCTGGAGCCTAGATACCAGTATGGTTGAGCTCTGTACCCCCTGCAGTCCTTTCAAATTAAATTCTGAGGAAAACTTTAGCAATTATTTTCCCTAATAAAAGTTCTGAAAAATGGAGCTCTCTGTTAGCAAACATTATTGGCTGCCTGATAAAGTCATTCTGGTGTGTGTGTGTGTGTGTGTGTGTGTGTGTGTGTGTGTTTCTGAGTGAAGATAATTTATAAACTGAATAATGTATCTTTTAGTTCTATCCTTACACACAGTTTATTTTATTCTCTTCATTCTCTTTACCCTGAGTAATTGTGTATTTTTTTCCCTTATTTGTGTCATCATGCTGCTTTTCCTTTTTATTTGTGCTTAATTTTTATTTTCTCAAACTTAGATATGAATATAGTAAAATATAGCAAAGCTTAATTCATAAAAATATGTCACCTCCTCCCATACTTCATTGTGGCCTTTCCCATTTCCCAAAGGTAAATAATTGCTTTCAACATTTTTAGTTAATTATCATTTTTATATATATTTGCCTCTCTGTTGAAAGAGCATTGTAACATGGTTCAATTTTATCTATTATCTTGACTTACCAAGATGGAAGACAAATATTTTAATTTTCTTTCACAAGCACCCTCACTCTTGACTTTTTTCATCTGTTTTTCCTATAGAATATTGCTTTTGTTTTACAAGGTCATAGTTTATATTATTATGACTATGTCAGTATTATTCACATCGTATGACGATTATATTTCTTTCTTGAAAATCTTTTTATTCCCTTTGCAGCTAATAGTTGCCTCATTTCATAGATTTTTTTTTTATTTTTCTTTGTATTTAGAATCTCTTCACATCTAACTCTGATCTTACTGTATGTGTTCTCCCGTTACAGCAACACAAACCTAGTATTTCCATTATTGTCTTCCTGGAGACCACCCTCCTGAGCCTCTGGACTCCTTCTACTCCTCTCCTCACTAGGTCTGCTGGCTGTGTGCCATTTTAGCAATGTCCTTGGATGAGAGTTCCTTTAAGAGTGGCAGAATTAATTAAGTTGGTTTGAAGTTCTTTGTATGGGTGGAATTTATTGACAGACGGGTTTTAACATAGGATGCTTTGGATGAGTGGTTTTATTGGTAGACTTCAGATTTTAAGTATTTTTATATATTCTCTGTTGACCTAGTCATATTTACTAGAAGTGAATTTTCTGTTGTCCTAACTGGAAGGAAGAGTTCTGGGCGTCAAGAGAGTAAAACATCTGCAGAACCTCTGCAATAGTGACGTCATCTCATTGAAGTATTGGACTCTCTGTTCTCTATATCCGGTGTCTCTCTGCTTGGCATCCCACCTCAGTTTTCTGCTGAAGTGAAGGAGGGAGGAACAGGCACTGTTCACATCCACAGTGTGACTGAGGGATCAGGAAGAGAGATTCCCCCCACAATCAGAATTCCCATCAAGTCCTCCTTTGCCCCTACTTCACTCAGTAGCAGGTGTTGTCAATCACTACCCCTTTCTGCATTCTGTGGTACAAACTGAATTGCTTTTCAGCATCTCCCCTCTGCTGGCTTAGGTTTTGGTCTCCTTGGTCTTTTATCAACTATTCATCTGCTTTACAGATTGTAGAATCTTATTGTTATTGTCTTTTTATTCTCTTGGACCATGTGGATTTGTGCTCTTTAAATTCCTTTATTGTCATTTTTCCAAATGGAGTAGTGTGTGTGTGTGTGTGTGTGTGTGTGTGTGTGTGTACAAGCTTCTATCATTTACTAAGATGCATAATAGTATTTAGACTGAATTTATATTATGTACTTTAAATCATTTTTAATTAGTAGAGTGTAACTAAGGAATAAACAAATGAACAAAATCAACTTGCCACTCATAGTTTAAATACTACAGAAAACTTCTTCTTCCAGTGGTTTTCCCCCCTGATTTTTTATTGTTTTTTTTAATCTTTAGACATAGGTCCTCATTTTTGCCCCATTAACCTCTTCCATCCCTTTCCCACCCACCCAAGGCCCTTACCACCCCATTATCCATGGATTATGCACATATACATATAGGGTCATTGGTTGGTCTCTTCCCATTTATCTTAACAAAGGACTCTGTACTTTTCTCTTTTAAATGCAGTTGGAAGCTTTAGACAAAACCGATGGAACCTCACCTCTCTACTAGTGCAGCCCATCTCAGCGGCACTCGTGGCAAAACTGATCTCTTCGTCCAAAGATGGAACCAAAGACAGTGTCTGTCGCCCTCTAGAACTTCCACCTCATGGTAACGTATTTGATGCCTGTCTGTGTGTTGTACAATTTTTTATAAGGATGGTGATCATTTTTAATCTCTTAAATTGACATGATCAGGATTGTGCTAAAAAAAAACATTTATTTTTATAAGGTACAGCCTTTACCTTCTCTGGCTCTTTAAGATATATTTTTGGAAGGCAATTTTGAAAAAGACTTAAAGTTTACCAAACTCAGGGACTGAAAAAAAAGAGGGAACACATTTGGACTGCAATAGAGAAAAGCAGCTTTGCACATAAAGCATTTTGTAAGTTTCATGAAAATCTGCTTAACATAGCTTCCTGGTTTCAGCAGGCTTGTTGCCTGCCAAGATTCAGAGGATAGCAGTCAGCTATCTGGGGTATGAAGTCCTTTAGTAGAAAGCATTAAAGCCTAATTCCTGCAATTGACTAAAAAATCCCTCTGTCTTTACACATCATTGCCCGAGAGATGTTTCTTGTACTGCAGTGCAGTTTGTCAGGCCTTGTTAGACCACATAGGATAAAACTGAAAAAATTAAACTACCTGTAGTGGTGAAAGCACTGCTGCCTTTTCTCTCTGCCTCCAGCTTCAGCATTAGAATTCTAGAGATGATTCTCTTTACATATTGTTAAATTTGTATTTAATCGTTATGAAATTCAACTTATGGGGCTCTGTTTTTGTGTCCAGACCTGGGGGCTTAACTATCCTTATTTTATTTCATCTGTTTATCTCTTGGCAACAGAAGCATTAAAAAGATGTTTCAAAGAAGCATAAAAAAAATCTGAATACATTCAGAATTGCCCTCTGGTAGAGATACAACTTTTCAAAGGCCTATAGATTGAGAGCTTCTTAAACTGATTCTTGATTGAGAAAAGTGGGAAATATAGACAACAATGATAAGCCTATGCCTTCAAAGTGGAATGAAGAAGCCCTTGAGGAATTTTTTTTTTTTTGTGTGTGTGTGTGTGTGTGTGTGTGTATTTTCTGTCTTCTATTCTGAGCCCACAAATTTATTATAGACTCGATTTGTTAAAATAAATAAACAACAATCTACATTAATAAAAGAGAAATATGCAAATTGAGTGTGCATTTGTGATGCAACCAGCCAATCAGGAGTGGGTATGCAAATTAACCCAACAAATATGGCAGGTTAATTTGCATACACAGGTGCTGAGCAGCCAGGGGTGGGACATTTGCGCTGTCATCATGGTGACGATGCAGGCATTCCACACCAACCCAGCAGCTCTGGGCTTCTGGGCAGTGTGGGAAGGTTGAAAGATGGCTCTGGCTGGAGAGAAGGTGGTGCAAGCAGCCAGGGGAAGGAAGGCCCATTCTTGTATGAATCTTCATGCATCGGGCCTCTAGTGTAATAATAGTTTAATTGGAAGGAAAGCACTGGGCTTCATATAAGACTAGATTGAAGCCCAGATTTAATTAATTGGTTAAGTCAACAAATATTCAGACCCCCTATATGTTCCTGCCATGCTCTGTCCTTGGTAACCTGTTATCCCACTTACCAGCACCCTGCACCACCTCTCTTCCAAGAGCCTCTGTGTCTGCACCTACAGAAGGATATCTAAGGTTCTAGTTTCTCAAGTGGTTCTGAGAATTAAATCGTGATGGACATTTAAGTACTTCAGTATACTGTAAAATGTTATGCTAGCAGCTGTCTTTCTCGTCAAATAACCATATCAATGTGCTCCACAATATGGCAAATGTCTGTATAATGATGGCATAGCTAAGCAAAATAGCAATCTCCAGTTTTATCTCTGCAATAATTTAGCCACATATATGAAGCTTAGAAGACAGTGAGATATATACTGAAACCCACTTAGAACTCTAATGTTAAAGAAGCAGCAAGATAGGCCTGCTTTAGAGCTATTAGTATACCTTGTTTGGGTCATTGAGAAGTTTACCAGTTAAAGCCCACTGCTGAAACCACCACACAATGCTTCTTTATTAAGGTAGAGAACAGTTTACTACAGCCAGTTAATAAAGGAAGGAAAACTCATCCTCTTCAGATATTTCTCAGAAGGAAAAGCAAAATCTCCAAAGAGCAAAAATCAAATTCTATATTAGCATATTCTTTATTTAAAACAATCTGTCATTACCTAGGAAACAGCAAGCATATTTACAATTATCTATTTATCCTCTGGACCTGTTAGGCCAAATATTGATTGTCTTGACATTTTATTTCAGCCACAGTAGTACATAATGCCACCTTTTACAGTGCCATTTTAGGTTGTAAGGCAATAATGAAAATTAAATTATAGGAACATTTTATAAATCTCTTTTGAATCAGAATGCAGATTCTCTGTAACTAGAAATATTAAGGGCAACTGGGCTTAAGTAGTCTACCGATTAACTTGACATTTCATTCCTTGACATTTTAAGATCCCAACCAGGCATCTGAGACCCTTTAGTCTTTCAGAGATTTCTGTCTACACTACATAAGCTTTTTTTTTCTTTTTCTTTTCTTTTTTTTTAAGATTTTTAAATTAACTTTTAGAGAGATAAGAAGAGAGAGGGAGAGAAATACTGATGTGAGAGAGAAACACAGATGTGAGAGTTAAACATCCATCGGCTGCCTCCTGCATACCCCTTACTGGGGATCTAGCCAAAACTTGTGCAAGTGACCCAAATGGGAAAATATTTTATTAATAACTTTTGGTGAATATAATAATGACTGTTTCTAAGTTGCATAAAACTTAATGTCATCAGTTGATGATGTGATAAGTTTTACATAAGTAAGTTTGGGTCATTTCTCCTCATAGGGATGTACATGTAATGTATATACACACACACACACACACACACATACATATATGTATAGTTACTAATTTGTATTCAAAATTATATATATTACTGAAAATTACATTTATTAAAATATAATATCTATAGATAATATTGTTTATACTTTTTACATATTTCAAAGGTTTATATTTCTAACTTCTGAAAAGCTACATGAATGTACATATTATCATTTCTTGAGAATAGTTAAGTATGAATTGAACATATCCACTAAAATTTATTGGCAAGTAGTACATTTTAGCTTTTCAGGAAATATCCATTATTTATATTTATATTAAATGTTAGTACAGTTTAATCCAGCATTGTTTTTTGTATGTTTGTTTGTTTGATTTTGGTTACATTTGAGACCAATCAACCTGTCCAGAGTAGCTCCAAAAGAGAATTCCTCAGAAGACATAAAAACAATAAGCTAAAAAAAAAGCTTGTTTTAGAAAAGGGTGGGCTTTAATATATTTGGCCATCAACATGTAATAAAATATCTAGAACATGGTATAAAAATTTAATGTGTTCAGACAGCTTGCATATAGCATGCATTTGGATAAGGTGACCGTTCTTTATATAAACAGTTTCAATGAATGACGCTGTTGTGACAAATATAAGCTGTGTGTTAGGAGCCACTGAACTATGCGATGGTGACACCCCGATTGTATGGCTCTTCAAGCAGTCAGCTGCACAGTGAACCTGGGAGTCTGAGCTGGAAACTGATAAGAGAGTATTCGTGGAACTAAAGATCAGCCTTCATGAGCTGCCAGCCTGACGTCCTTGGACAAAAGCTAAAAAAAGCTTCAGAAATCACTTTGAAGGACTATCCATCAAGGCTCTTAAACAGAGTGAGCATAGGTGGGGAACCTATTGTCCAAAGTCAACAGAAAGTACAGTCAGTTCTCTGTATCCTGGGGAGTGCAGGCTGGGCTTACTGAGGGAGACAGAGAGCTGCCACTCACCCAGAACTTTTCAGACTCCTGGCTTTCTGTCTCGACAGTTTTGGTTTTAGGAAATGATTCAGCTTTGATTCAGTCTAGAGTTTTATTTGTGTGTTTGCTAAAAGACCTAAAGACAACCTGAGGTGTATACTCTGAAGAAAAATTATTTTAACAAGTGTTATCCAATGTTCAATGTTTCTCAGCAATTTTTACAAGTTCTTACATTCTTCTCTCATTATTTCTCAAACACCTGTCACTCCTTTCAAATTATAGTCGCTCCAACTAAACTTTATAGTATATAAATGTGACAAAAATCCCTTAGAGTACAACCCTATTTTATTTTTTGATGATCCCCTTTTATTTTTCCACAATGGGTTAGCATTGTCATTTACTAACATAGAAACTGCCAGATTCCTGAATGACTTTCTGGTTCTATATCCTGCTATTCCCTGCAGGCGTCCAGTTTTTCTCACTATTATTCTATTCAATGTTATCCAGATAGGTCTTGCACGTTTGTGTTTCCACGTAACAAAACCCAAGTGTTCCCTAAATCTCAGTGCAAATGCTATCCTCTCCATAGAAAAGCCCTTCTGTGTTCTAATGGGACAGCCTCTCCCAACTCTGTCTACCATCCAGGGGTCCTCAAACTTTTTAAAGTGGGGGCCAGATCACGGTCCCTCAGAGAGCTGGAGGGCCGGACTGTATGAACTACTAATTCCTACTGTAACACCTCGGCTGCGCTCACTGCCCAAAAAACCTGGCGGGCCAGATCAGACTCCTCTGCGGGCCGCATGTGGCCCGCGGGCCGTAGTTTGAAGACGCCTGCTAGGCACTTACATGCTCCTTGGCATTGTGGTATGTGGTACAAGCAACTTATTGTAGAATGAATTGTTTCTACTTTATTTTTATTTTTATTTCAATTATTTGATATCTTCTTTTTAACCAAGGAGAAAAAAATATGTATTGTGTGCATGTCAGGTGTAGTGTTCTATATGTATTCATTTAGACTAAATTCCTAAATCTAGTCATTCAGATATTCTATATTTTATTATTAGGTTTAAAATATCTTACTGTGAGTATAGACTTTACCGTGTAGTTCTGCCAATTTTTGATATATTTATATTTTAGGCCATTTCTTAGATATTTGTAAATTTGAGTATTGTATATTGTATCTTCATGGTTGGTTGCCATACTCATCAAATGAAATTATATATATATATATATATATATATATATATATAGATAGATAGATAGATAGATATAGATACTAAGGCTTGTC